AACTCTAGTTTCATATTTACTACTACTTGGCTTTCATCAACTAACACTATATCGTTTGCAAAAAGCATACACCAAGAGATATCCCCTTGAACGTTCCTTGTAACCTCATCCGTTACCAAGGCAAAAAGATACGGGCTCAAGGTTGGCCCTTGATATAGTCCTATTTAAATCGGGAAGTAATCTGTGTTACCATTATTTGTTCGAACACTAGTCACATCATTGTTAGCCTATTAAAACTTCAAATATATATACACAACATACTATTCTAGCTATGATCACTAAACCACTTTGCTTATATGCAATTTGGTTTACATTTGACACCAATATCAATTTTTGTACTACTACAGTGATCACTTCGCCTTAATTATTATCGATGCGAATTTTGGCAAGATGGTGGTTTTTTATTCCTTTAGAAAAGAACAAAAGGAGTACCGCAAGTGTTCATCACTGTTTAATAGACGTAAGTAATCGTAGCTGATGACTTGCAAGACAAACTATTGTGTCCAATTGTTGTTGTAGCGACACTGAATCTTTCTTTGATGACATCGATTAAATAGCGCCTACAAATATTATGTTAGCAAAGGAGAAGCATGTAACAAAGATAAGACAAAAGAAGACAAACATTGTTCTACATCAAGAGTTACAACCATTTCTACCCGCAAATAGTTAGCATACTAATTAGGTAGAACAATGCACTTGAGTGTATCATTTTTTTTGCATGTCACCGACTTGAAGTGCGCGAAGCAACCTCCTGGAAGCGTGCTCTGTGAATACTTTGTATGTCAATGGCTTAGGACCAATGGTGTTGCTACAATAACCCAAAAGAAAACAATCCGTCAAATCATTTCATATGCATATGTTCATTAAATTGAATCTAATTTATATATTTCCATTTGTTTTGTACAACACCATATGTTTTTTGCCCTCTGCCATAGTTGACCAAAAGGATATTCAAGAAATTCAAAATGATTTATGCAAATTCCTGTTGTGAGAGGTGATGTACGAGAATATATGGCTACTTCTTTGATAAGACTTCAGAGTATGCGAAAGACCCTAAGTACGAGGGTCGTCGCGCTTCGACCCAAAGGTCCTCTCATCAATGTTAACATGAAGCACAATGTTAATAGTTTGTAAACTAATGTATCCTAAAATTTGTTTGTAAATGGTGTGTATTAATTAACTAGTACCTTATAATAATGTATACATATTTGAAGTTATTCTGAATGAAATGCAATAGGGTATGAAATTTGGTGGAAACTGAGATTTCAAATATGGCAAGAAATTTCAAAAATTTAAATTGGATTTCATTGGCGGTTTATTTTTAGCAGAATAGGTCTTGTGAATAGATTTTCAAGGGCAGTTCATTTAAGCGAACAACACCTGAAAATATTGGTTTCAGTTGCGGTTGCCTTGCCACAACCGTTGCTGAGCATAAAGTTTCAAGGGCGGTTGCGTTAAGGTAACCGCATGTGAAAACATAGTTTAGGGGTGGTATTCGCACTGTTCGCCTAAACGGCCGTTTAGCCCGTTTACACACCGTTTAAACGCTACACGGTGGTACACCGTTTCCGTTTAATCGGTTGTTTTGACCGTTTAAATGGTTGTTTTCCCGTTTAAACACCCGTTTTGCCCGAATAATGGGCTAAACGGTAGGTGACCGACTGTTTACCGTTTAACGTTTAGGATAACACTGGGTATTCATAGAGCAACTGCCACTGAATATCTATTTGCAAGGGTGGGTGGATTAGGTTGCATAGCTATGTAACATTCTCGGACAAGAAAAATATTGTAAAGATCTCCTCTGCCTCTCGTCCCGGCCCATTGATTACATATTGCAAGTGATCTCAGTAGGTGAAAACTAAAAGAAGGTGCCCTGTGCTAGCACACATACATGGCCTAGTGGGTTTTTTGCATGGTCGAAAAAGAAACAAAATATGTTTATTTTGCCTCTAACATCATGTTCAAACAAATATTTCATCTTCACATCATTGTCTCTAACTCTCCATCACATTTGAATATAGTTGCAGCATAATCACATTATCTTGACGTTGCAGTAGAATCAAACAACCCTAACTTTAACCACTAATTTCAAAAAATCAACGTAGTTTCACAACATGTAAAATATATATTATGAAAATATTTCTCATAGTGAACCGATCTGAAAACTTAAACTTGTTGCTATCTGAGAATATAAAAAACCAATGAGAATGAAGGTTGGATGACTCACGGAAAGTTAAGGAGAGCATGTGGGTGGCGGTGCTCCTGGGGCCGTTGACAATGCGAGGCAGATGAGGCGGGGATGGCGCGTGGCGGACCATGGGGATGGGGATGGCGTGTGGCGGATGGGGACGGGGACGGCGCATGGTGGTGGACCGTGTGGACAGGGACGGCACGCAGCGGACGGTGTCGAGGTCGGGGTCAAAGCCGGCACAATGCTCTTAGGGATCCCACGGTCGGCGTGGATGCAGACGACAGTCGCTCTTATGGTTGAAAGTCAAAAGTATGGTCCAAGGTGGTGCAAAAACTACACTATATCAATGTAGCTGTTTCTAAAAAAGCAGCTTCTGGTTCTATCCGTTTGATTGTGTTTTGCCTTTGATAGTAGAAGCACTTTACAGAAGCTGAACAAACACAACTTAAGATTAGTGAGAGGGTGAGGAAGACGGAGAGGATCACTACAACATGGATATAGGGCTTTGAGCTCCTGGAATGGGGGTATATATCGAGGTTTCCATGCTAATGCCAACTTATAGTGCTGACACATATACTATTCTTGCTTCCATGTATAATTTCTTGATTTCCATGATGGCTCCTAGTTAGCACCATCATATGTACTTTAGTGTCTGCACTCAAGGTGTGCTGGCACAGATAATAAGTATTCGTGCCAGCATATTTCTTTGGTCTGCACTTTCTATCTTAGTGGCACCTTGACCACCATGGTTGAGCCGTTTGCATTGGTGTCGGTTGGGTCAACATTGACAAATCAACTGGCACGAGTATTTTTGGAGTAGTGAAGGAGAAATTAATTCCATCTACTCGAGCTTGCTCTAAAACCATTGCTTGACGCCGTGTGGTGCTAGCTTACCAGCAAAATGGCGTTGTACCATTGGGCATACAAATGTATACCATGAATGTGTTGTTGATGTTGTTGTGGTGCTGATTTGCAGTGGAATGTAGAGAAGATGTTTGGTTCATGGGATGACCAACTACTGGTTCTAGGTCGATCGAGACATACAGTGTTTGACCACATCTCTTCAACTCTTCTTCTATTGCACTATATATGCATTTAGTTGCAATGATTCATGCATGACCCCTTGCATATATTTCTCAATGAAACTTTTTTTTTTGGCTAGTATAGAGAATGGTGACGGTTCATAAAGCAATGGGCACCAAAAAGAGGTACAGAAGGGGTGGTGGCATAAATTAAAATCATCAGTTAACCATGTGCATATATGCTGCAGTTTTAAAAAACTATAGGCTACATAAAACCATGGTTTAGAGAAAAAGAGGTTCTGAGTTTCTAGAGCACCAGAAAGGCAAAGGTTTTGACAATACCATGCCTTTTAAAAAGTATATAAGCTGGTTTTGTTGCATCCAAATGATGCATAGCAATGCAAATTTCCAAAACTCTAGTATTTGTCCAGTTCTCTGAAAACGTTTTGCATCGGCCTAAAAGGAGTGGAAGCTGAGCTTCCACGATTCCGCGTCCTTGTGTGGGCACACCACGTCAACAGGCACGTTTGGGTCTCGGTCACATACTCACATCTATACAAATCTATCAGGTGATGCACACGCTATTTAACGCACCGCGCACACAAGACGCAAGAGGCACAGAGACACCGAACACTTTACACGTCCACACACGCGTAGTACAGCGGCGAAGGCAAGGAGGTTTGGGTGTTCGACGTCGATGAGACGACGCTTTCCAACCCCCCCTACTATGCTGAACACGGCTTCGGGTACGTTTCATATATTTATAGGTTGCATTATTAAAACATATACCTTATGTTATTTATTCCAATACGCTTTGGAATCGAACTATGAAGATTGTGAGTACAAGTCATTGATTGGACAGCAAACCAACCAAACTGATCTAATTCATCAAATACTACTCCCTGTCTATCTATCTATCTATCTATCTATCTATCTATCTCTTATCTATCTCTATCTTTTTATATTTTATATTACACCTAAAAAGACTGTAAGTCATTATCTATCTGGTGATACCAAATCTTGATCCCTACTCATGCGTCCATCGATATGAAACATACTCTACTTGGAACTCATACGTCCACATACTACCCGTTTACGATACCAAGACCAGATCCACATGTCCGCGTCCGATATAAGGTCCTCGGATCTCACGCATCCGCGTAAGATTACTAAGGTTTAATTCAAAAAATTATGACCCCGGTACAAGGCACGGTCATTTATCTAGTACACTTAATAAAACAGGACATGACTCATACTCAGAGAGAGTAGATAACAGATGGATGGGGGAGATAGTGACCGACTGAGAGATGAGAGAAAAAAGATTTATCTAATTAATATTAGGTATGTGTATACCTTAGGTGATCTGTTCACGTTTTGGAATCGAAACTTTGAAGATTGTGGGTAGAAGTCATCGATGGGACAGTAAACCAAACAAACTGAACTAATTCATCAAATACTAATACACTTAATAAAACCAGACATGACTCCTGTACTCGAAAGAGTAGATGACAGATGGATGAACGGGAGATAGAGTGACCGACTGAGAGATGAGAGAAAAAGATTTTTCTAATTAATGTTATGTATGTATAGATTTTTTTTCTACTATAAGCGATGGAACAAGAAAATTAGCCTATTTAATATTAGTTACAGTTATTAGTATAGATTATAGATTACTGACTATAAACTATAGATATAGATATATATATAGATATAAAATAGACATAGATATAAACATATGTGCACATAGGAGTATACTGATATATACTAACAATATACTAGACACGCATATGGATGCGTTCTGTGCACACGTACGGCCACACACTAACAGTGAACGACGCAGGTCTGAGCCATACAACTCGACGGCGTTCGGCGCGTACGCGAAGGAGGCAAACGCGCCGGCGTTGCCGGAGACGCAGCGGCTGTACCAGAGACTGCAGGAGCTGGGCATCAAGCCGGTGATCCTGACGGGGCGACGCGAGGACAAGCGGGAGTCCACGGCCAAGAACCTCGCCGCTGCGGGGTACACCGGCTACGAGAAGCTGCTGCTCAAGTACGTACATATATCGTCGATTCGACCTGGCATGCGTTGCGTGTGACGACGGGCGTATATATGCATGCCCGCAGGCCTCAGAACGTCAGGGTGACTTCGGTGGAGTTCAAGTCCGGTGAGCGGAAGAAGCTGGTGGACGCCGGGTACGTCATCGTCGGCAACATCGGCGACCAGTGGACTGACCTCCTCGGCGAGCCGGAGGGCGATCGCACGTTCAAGCTGCCCGACCCCATGTACTACGTCGGCTAGCTCTTCATACGCTCTTCTCTACCCGATCAGGACTGGAGCCAACAGCAGCAAACGGAAGGACGCCTGAATGAATAATAATTACCGTTGGCGTATCAAAATAAATAAATGGACTAATAATTATAAAGTACATGGATTGATGGATATTATGGAGTACTGTATGCCTGGCCCTATGGCTTACAATCCAAACGGCGTAATAATATATAGTTCACACTCAATAACATTTTCCGCTGATTTGCTTGCCCAAGTTACAAATAAATAAATGAGCAAAAGCGATTCATCCCTCAGAAGTGCAGTGTGCTCTGCTTTGCACAGCAAAGACGAAGGGAAGGTTTGTCACCTCACCACACATTGGTCAAAGAGTTTTTCCAAAAACGATTCCATCTATATTTGTTCTAAGGGCAGCAGGTATATTTTTTATGATGTGGAGAAGAGAGGGAGGAATGTGAGAGAAAGATCGAGGTATTTATTTTGTGAAGCACCGCATCATGCATGAGCAAAAATTTAGGACTATAAGAGATATTTCACCACTGTATGAATTAATGCTGCCATGCAACTCAGAAACTTTTTCTTTCTGATTAGATGGATTAAGGATAATTGAATTACTAGAAGACAACTTAACGGACAATCCATTACGTGGCGGTGCATGAGACAATCTATAAGACAGTACCATTGTGCTTTCCCTTAGGTCAATATCTATAAAAAATATATAAACTAGAATAATGAAAAGGCTTATACCTTATTCACATAAAGGTACTTATCTTAAAAAAATGCTGTCAATCTAAATAAAATATCAAATGTTCATGATCAAAATAATTTAGAAATTTTAACTTATGAAAAGTATTATATGTCTTCATACGGAGATGACACTTCTTCCTGCATAAGGAGGAATAACAAAAATGAAAGAAAAATGTGCAGTTGAAGATGACACTTCAACTGCAACAAATGATGTCAATCAAGACATGAAAAAACATGAAAGGCTACCGACGATTGAATACCTAATCATTGAGGTTTTGATGTTTCATTCGGGCCTCCTATGTCTTTTTTAAGAAAAAGAAAATTTTATTATTCTAACCTCTGATAGAGTTTTGCACTCAACCAATCTATTATTACAGCTGAGCCTTCTACTAGATTTAAAGAGCTCACAAAAAGCAAAAGAAGAAAAGAAGACCAATTAACTAAGCATTAAGCCTATTCGAAGACAGTCACTCATGTTTGACGAAAATCTCCATTGTTGGAATCTCCAACATTCGATAATACCCATTTCAGCGTAGGTCTATTTTCCTCTTTATGTAGGATAGACCATGAGCGCGACAAGGTAGTCCTGAAAGTAACTGTCAATAGAAGTATATCACTTTATTATAAAAAAAAATCGCATCATTTCTAGATAGCGTCAATGTCACCTCAATTTCAAGGATTTATCAAAAAACATGAAACAATGCCAAATAAATCCCCTCCATTGGAGCTACGCCTCGCTGTCCCTGGCACAAACATCCACGCCCCCACTTTTCAGGTGTTGTTTAGCTGTACACTAATCCACCTCAATTCATACATATTGTGCTGGATTAAAGTTCAGCCAAATAAACCATAACATAAGATTGCAGAAGCTTGTTGCAACGCCACACTCTCGATTCCCGCGATTTCAGAAATCTAATACATTGCAACCATGAAAAAGATAAGGATGCAAAATTAAAACTAATAATGGAGCATACTCTCTCCCCGTCCTAAAATAAATGACTTTATGAAAAAAAAATAAGACAAATTAAAGATGTTGACAAAAGATGTATGTATCCTAATCTCTTTTTCTTTCCCGAGTGATATCTCCTGGATTTGGCAGTTATCATTTGTATGTACCCGTGATTAGCTTTCATTTTACGAGGCAATATCCCGTGTTTCTGTAGATTATTATTTTTATGGAATAAATTTTAAATCTTAGAAAATATTTATTTTGGGATCGAGGGAGTACGTTGTTGACCAAGTGTATAATGGTATTTAATTTAATTGAACTTTACTATAGCACGGACGTGCAGTTTTAGTGCCATCCGACTGCACAATCTTTTCTTTTGGCAAAACCTGATCCCCACGCCGCGCCGGCCAACGTCCGCCGCACCTCAGGTCAACTCCGGCATCGCTGCTCCTCCGCCGTTCCCTAATCTTAGATGAGATTAAGAGACTAACGAGAGGAGAGAACGGGTGCTGGAGAGAGAATGCGGAGACGAGCATCGGTGGATAACGAAACTGCGTTAATGAGTGGAGCCCACCTTGTGGACGGAAGGCTCTCTGACCGCACGGTAGCAATAACCGATCGACATGGGTGGTCGATGTGCAGGAAGAATAAAAATCAACTGTGGATTGGATGTGCATGCGAAGTCGCAATAGCGTACGCGGCTGTAAAGAAGTATTTGGGTAATTTAATTCATGTAGTATTGTTGGTATGTTACAGTTTAAATTTACATCGATTAGTCACTGTGTGCTGCTACCAGGCTACCAGCTGGTACATGGTACCTGCTGCCTGCTGGACGGCCTCCTGGCTCGCCGCACGCTGCTCCCTCGTCCCTGCTCGCCGCTTCCCATCATGGGCATGGGAGCATGGATGCCGCGGAGAAAAGGCCCGCCGGCCCGGATGAAGCGAAGAGGCTTGACAGGGATAGGATTTAGGGAAGGACTGAAGCAAGAGAAAATTGGAGAGCGACAGGGCGAATGAAGCTGCGCAATCACAAATTCACAGAGCTACAGGGCGAATGTATGCGCGGGTCGTAGCTATTGAGTCCTTGGGCCAGCAACTCAGGCAGGCCCGGACAAAATTGGCAAGTGGCCTTGTTGCCGCACTGACAGGCCCGTACCTAGCCCAAAATTAGCATCCGTGCACTATATAAAGGAGTATACAATCGGTCTCTTCCGTTTTTCCCGTAGCTGATTAGTGGGAGGGGACACAATGGCACATTCCGGAGACTCAACGCCATACCTTCAACAGGGTCATCATTTATATCACGTAGAACATTTGTAGGATTTCCTAAGATGTTGCTAATCTTGTAATTGCTTTGGCCCTACTGTATGTCATTTCTAAGGGAATTTACTCGTTTGTTTAACCACACCCCCCCCCCCCCCCTTTGCCCTGATTAGGTGTGGTGTGGATCCACCATTGTAACCTAATACTTCTTTCCCTTTTAATTGAATGACAGAGCTTCTTCCCTATGTCGACGAAAAATTGGATGGGCATATTGACGGTGCTCCAGCGAACCCTAGCGCGCCTTTGGGGGGCGGCGATGAAGACGAGGGTGGGGTCAAGGACGAGAACTATTATTGGGAATAAGGAACGGGGTGCTAGCTCGATCATCATTTTGAAGGACGGCACAGAGCGAGGACGAGCGAGAAAGGAGCGGCGCAGGGAGGAAATCACAGCTTAAACCGTCCTTTATTTAATACACAGGAAAATACGAATAACATTTGTGTAGAACGCAACCATCATATCTACTAAACACAGAAATATGTGAATTTCCTATTTCGGAGCGAGCGCACAGGCTAATTTTCTCCAACTTTCATGCTCAACATTTCGTTAGGCACATGACCTGCTCCAGCTTTCCCTCCCGTCTCAGCCCAAAAATACCATCCCAGGCTAAGAAAAATAAAATGGGGTTACCATAAAATATATTATAGCTTTATAGAGGAGACGATGATATATATATTGTACCACAAAGGATATTCATCCACTTTGAATAACATATATAATGATGAGCAAATTATTGAGAAATCGACAGGCTCTGCACTGATCAGTCAGCCTTATTTCCACTAAACTCAGGAAATTAACCTTAGGAATTAATGATAACATGGAGCGGTCATAAAGTAAGAAGCGAGGGGTATAACAAACAAAGAGCAGTTCATCACAAACAGGACAGGCATTGCAACCGGGCGACGGATTGATCGATGGGGCTGATGGAGATCTAGCCGCCGTTGGATAAATTATACGGAGGCCAGCGTAGCAGCATCGCTTACGCTTAGCCAATGTAGTAGAGGGGGTCAGGCAGCTTGAAGGTGCGCGCGCCCTCGGGCGCGCCGAGGATGTCGCTCCACTGGTCGCCGATGTTGCCGACGATGACGAACCCTGCGTCCTGGAGCTTCTGCCGTTCGCCGGACTTGTAGGCGATGGCGGTGGCCTTGAGCCCGACGGGCTTGAGCAGCAGCTTCATCCAGCCGGAGTAGCCCTGGCGGCGGAGGTTGGCCACGGTGATGGCCCTCTGGTCCTCGGTGCGCCCCGTCAGGAACACCGGCTTGATGCCGAGGGAGATGAGCTTCTTGAAGAGCCGCTGCGTCTCCGGCAGCACCGGCGCGCTCCCCTCCAGCACGTACTCGTTGAAGCTCGTCGCGTTGTACGGCTTAGTGCTAGGCATTAAGATTGAAAAAAACAATTATCTAGAGGTTAAGTATAGTTGGGACCACGCGTTAGCCAGCAATATATTTTTTTCCTATATTCTGTGTGAACAGTAGGCAACCTGCTTTTGGATAGGACGCTATCTAGATTCCAGAAATTGATAAGGTTTCTGTAGCCAGAAAGCGTTGGCCAAGCGGACCAGCAATATATCCTACTGCACGTACTCTGCACGCGTACATGATCCTACTCTGATCTGGCATAATCTCATCGACGTCTCCGTCAGGCATTGTTTTGCTCGGCACATGCTGCCCTTGTCCAGGTCTCCAGGACAATCTGTGCCCCTTTCATTGAGATAGAGGACACAAAGAAAGGACATACACACACACACACACACACATATATATATATACACACACACACACACATATATATATATATATATATATATATATATATATATATATATATATATATATATATATATATATATATATATATATATATATATATGTTTTACGTTTGGAACACCTCAGTTTGTCAAAGAAGGTTTTCTCTAAAAAAACTGGACTACTCCCACTAATGAAGTATGCAATAAAGAATCATATATGTGAAAACAATTACTTTTTTGGAACGTATATGTAACATGTAAATGTAAGAGTTTCTAACTTTGTGCTAAATCAAACTATTAATACAAGTATGATTAAGTTAATAGAAAAAACAACATTATTTATGAATGATACCTTATGAGCATCATGAGATCCATTAAAAGATGAGTATATTTTTACATTTTTCTTCTTTGATGTCAGAGATGGTAATGCTCAAAATTGGTCAAACTTTCAATAGTTGCACTTAGAATAGAATCAGAAGCATTTATAATTTTATTTGGATGGTGAGAGTAGACCGTTTTGATTTTTTTTTCTAAGTCAAATTTATCTAATTTTAAACAATACAAGTTTATATATAAAAAATATATCAATACCTATAATACCACAAAGATGTACTATAAAGATGGTGGCGTATTTTGTTCTATACAAAATTTTAAACTCCTTACACCTTGAAATGGACGGAATAGCTAGCTAGCGTTGAAGTCATTTTTACAAATTAAAAAACAATGTTCGGTCGTCAACTGATACGCTGGATTTTATATACGCATGATTTTAAATTAGATTTTTAGTGGCATATGGCTTAAGGACAACCGTCTCTCAAAATATACAGGACTATTTGTACTTACTTGCGGCTGACATATATAACCCATAACCAACCGCAGTAAAAATATATATTCTTCTACTAGTAGTAGTTTTAATCGACCACTAGTAAAAATAGGAGCATTTCTACTGAGGGTGATGCTGTATAAAACACAACTGAAATGATTTATTTCACTAGCGGTTCTTGTGTGTTGGCTCCCCAAAAAAATCACTGCACTAGCGTCTACTTTTGTACATCGTCAGTGAAAAAAATACGTACTAGCTAGCTCTAATGAAAAACCGTTTCTATATTAGTGGGTCTAGCGTACTGTTGTGCTAGCAAATTATTGTGGTATTACCTCAGGCCAGCTAATTCTTAGCTTCCCACTTTCAGTACCGATACGTACGTACGTGTAATTCCCAGATTAGCGTACGTATAGAAGTACGTACACTGGTAAATAAAAATCACTACTATTAAACAACGCGTGTACGTACGTACCCGAAGCCATGGTTGGCGTAGTAGGGGAGGTTGGAGAGGGACGTCTCGTCGATATCGAACACCCACACCTCCTTGCCGTTGCCGCCGAGGTTGAGCGTCTCGGCGTACGCGACGGCCTCGTCGACGACGACGCGGGAGTCCCGGCGGTAGTGGCCGCCGAGCATGTAGTGCCCGACGTAGCCCTCGCAGCTGGCCGGCACCGTCGTCCAGTCCCGCTTGTTGTACGTCTCCACGGCCAGGCGCCAGCTGTCGCACGGCACGCCGGCGCGCCTGGAGAAGTCCCCCGCGGAGCCGAGCAGCGGGTGCAGCGCGTGGATCAGCGGCGCCGACGACACGTCTTCCTTGAGGCGCTCCGCGGCCGCCTCGACGACGTACTGCGCCGTCGGCAGCATCCGCAGGCGGCTCAGCGGCCCCCGCCACGCGCTGCCGTCGCAGGAGCTGGCGGCCACGAGGACCATGAGGAGGAGGAGCTTGGCCGTGGCCATTGCCATTGCGCCACGCACTCGATCTGCGTGCTAGCTCTAGCCTCCAGCTACTACCTGGGACTGGGACTGGAGGAGGCGGACACTGTGCCCTGTTCTGCCATCCACAGGCGTGGTTGTGTGAACTTTTATAGAGCGAGCGTGTTTGCTTGCTCGGTCGCGGTAGTGTTGAGGGCCCACTGCACATGTCATCGGCCCAGCGCGTGAACCACGTGACTGACGTTGAGAGCAGGTTTGGACGTGCGCGATGGGACGAATGGTAAATGGTAATGGACGAGCGCGGCCGGCCGTGTACCATTATTATTCGTGAGATGCGGAGGACCGATATGATGACATGACAGGCACAGCATGCATGCATGCAAAAGCTGCAAGGCTAGCTGCGTTCGCACGCCCACGGAGAAGACACTGACTTGCATTGTACTTTTTTAAAATAAAAAATACACACATAAATGTCCGGTACTTCTTCGGCCCAACCATTCGCTTTATTTAAATTTTTATACAAATATTATCTATTTTGTTATGACTTATTTTATCATTAGAGCTACTGTAATAATGACTTATTTATATTATAATATATATAAAAAAATAAATAAGATGAACAGTCAAAAATAATGTCTAAAAATTAAAAACAACACTTGTCTTGAAACGGAGGAAGTACGTACGCCGATGACAGGCACATGATATCTCTACGAATGAGACCAGGGGTGAATTTTAGCCTTCATTATTGGCGTGGCACGACCACGACCACGACCAAATATGGCCAAAGGTACTAGTTGACAGCTAGCTCATCGTTGTTGGACCCCGTGACCTTTGGATTTGCTGTGAATAAGGTTAAGAGCATCTCCATCTCTAACAACCTAAAATTTACATGGTTTTTAAATAGAAAAAAATAATTTAATTATATATTTTGTGAGCATTTAAATTTAGGAAAATAATAACTTTGTTAAAAATAAAATTGAATATAGGTCTACATACATGTATATGTATATATGTTGCTGCATATTTATTTTGTGATGCTTGGATTTGATCAAAATTTGCAAAAGAATTGAATTTGAGTTTGAATTCGATTTGAAATTGTGTTAAGAAAATAGAAAAAAGAGTTTTATTTCCCCTCTCCCTCTATTCGGCCTGCTGGCCCAAGGCGCAACCCGCCTTCTCCTCCCCATCACTCCCCCGCATGGGCCTGCTGCTCCCGGCCCAGTGTTCTCCCCCTTCCTCTCTCGGCCCAGCTTCGCCCGTGGCCCGCTCGGCAGCGCGCCCGCGTCGTTCCTCTCTCCCGCTGACATGGACAGGCGGACCCCACTGGTCAGTCGTCTTCTTCTTCCTCCCCGCGCGAGACCGGGTTGGTCACAACCGCCGTCGCCGCCGAGTCCGCCTCCTCTATGCCGCGTCCTGGCATGACCCGCACGCCGAAGCCGCCCATAAATAGCGGCCCTTGCGCACACCGCCTCCTCCTAATCCTCGAGCAAGCCACCACCCTCGCTTGAGCTGCAACAAAACCGTAGCCCTAGCACCGCCACCGCCGTCGAGTCGAGCAGCCGCCGTGCGTCGTCGGTCCATCCCCGTCCTTGCTTTCAGTCTTGGTGAGTTCGCCTTGATCTCCTCTCTCTCCCTGTGCCCTCGCTTTGCTCTGTGGTGTTCCATAGGACCTAAATCAATGTCGCCTGCGAGCTTCCTCGCCGCCGTTCATGGCAGCCGCCGCGCCGTTTTCTTCTCCGGCGGGCGCGCTCTCTCTCTCCCTCCCATTTAATCGCAGTCGTTCATCACGTGATCAATGTCCCAGATTCAAAGATACCCCTTCGCCTGTCGTTTTGCAAAAAGGCTCTTATAATTATTTGGATCTCAACCCGCCATCCCTGCAATTTTGTTAAAGAGTCCCTCTGTTTCTTTGTTTTCGTGCCTGCAGTCCCTGTTTCGGTTTAAAATCTGATTTTATTAATTTAAATTCTAAAATCGAGTTTCATCTATTTACAGTTTTGCCACTAATCTTGTTTTAGCCATAAAATCTTCATTTTATCTCCGATTTGATCCGTTCAAGTTGTGTTAGTTTCATAATTACATAATCTACATGTTCATACTACTATTAAGTATGTTTTCAACTTTTAAAATTCGAGGTTAGATTTAATCTATTATTTTATTAAAGAAAATCTTGTTTAATTTATAACTTCTTCGTTTTAGCTCTGATTTCGTGATCTTCGCGTCTGTGTGTTCGTAGCAAGACGTAGAATCGCTTTACAAACTTTTCATCTTGATTTTATGCTGTTGGTGTACTATTCTAATCTATAGCCTTTGTTTGCTATGCATGATTGCTTCTAGATGCTTGTATGTTGTTGTGATTATCGAGTATAGACGGTGAGCAATTTGTGGGTGATCAATAGTACTACTTTGACGAGCAAGAACAGCAGGAGCACTTTGTTCAAGGCAAGTATAGCATGAGATTTTCCTTGTTTCCTATCAACTTTAATATATTTAATTTATATTGCATGTGTCACCTTGATAGGAATTCCCTAGAAATTGAACTTATACCTTGTCTCCTATGGGATATGCATCGGATAGCTTTGCTAGTGCTCAACGAAACCATGATCTTGTAACTTGACTAATGGAATATGCAATAAACATTAAAACATGACTTTTTAGCAACATGTAAATAGGGGGCTAGAGTGTTTAGCTACTTTCTAAATCCTCTAGATTTTTCTCCCTAAGGACTTATCTGTAAGTGATCATCCGGGACTTACAGTACAGCTATGAGGGCCACATGGCTCTGGCTTTGGCGCAAGAGGGGTGTGTTTCGGGTTGGATACAGTGTGGCCTTTGTCCGTCAGTGTATAGGCTGCGTGTCATTGTGCCTGTCGGAAGGGGAGCCCTATATTCGCAGGGCACAGAAACCTAGCGGCCCTAACTTGTTAGATGAACCTTTGAAAGGCTTCATAGTGACCCCTGCCTACTCACCTTGGAAGTATTTTGGGAGTAATTAACCCGGGCATATGGGTATCACGACTCACAGTGAAAGTGTACAACCTCTGTAGAGTGTAAAACTGGTATATCAACCGTGCTCATAGCCATGAGCGGCCTTGGAACATTTATGGAATAGATGATCACTAAGAATTATCTGTTCACGCTATTCATTACTCATGTTTACATTGATCATGTGTTTTACTTTGGGATTGAAACAACTTGTTGCTACTCTTATGCTAAAATTATGACAATTAAAAGCTGAATGCTGTTAAACCTGTGTCAAGCCTTTTGAGCCTCATGAACCCCATGTTACACTTGTTGAGTACGACACGTACTTACGCTTGTTAATTTTCATTATTTGGATAAAAATCTCAGATGGGTAACAAATGGCTACGGTAATGACGACTTTCCCAAGGATTACTAGACTTGTGGTCAACTAGTTGATGTCCCTGTGATATGAAGCTTCCTTGAGAGATTTTTCTTTATACTTCCGCTATATTTATGTGAAGACTATGTCTTATTATTCGTGATGTTATAAACACTTGTGATAATACTATTTATAATTTGTCAGCTTATGTGTGTGACTGATCTCTGGGCGCATATAAGATTATGCATCCCATTTTATCCTTAAAATCGGGTGTGACATATTGGAATCAGAGCTGTGTTGATTGTAGGACGCAAACCTTGTTAGCAATAGTCATTTTAGCTTCTTTTGCTTCACTCATTTCATGTTTCCCATCTCACCCTTGTTATTTGCTAAATTTTATGCTTCTTTTGCCTCACTCTATTATGAAAATTATTGCTTCTAAGCCAACTAAATATAATTTTGTAGATGCCTCGTGCCAATAAAATCGCTCGCATCAGCACCGGAGGCTACTACCCGCCTCGTGGCTTGTATGAGTCCATGGAGCCACGTGAGGAGGAGGAACCCTAGGAGCAAGAAGTTGACTCGCCAGCACCTGCACCTACGCCTGAGCCATTCTAGGAAGAGCCCGAAGAAGAAGAATCCAAAGAAGTGGAGGTCGTTGTATTATCTGATGAGGAGGAGGAGGACACCGTTCAAGAAGATCAGTCTACCCCTACCATGCGATGGACTACAAAGATCTGGTACAAGCCAGGGTGTGAATCCTCCGTCTCGCACCACTGACTTATGGGGATTCTTCAAACCTACTACGCTAATTGGGACACAGCTGTGGAGTACGTCTACAACTAGCATACGCACCCTCTGGAGGACACTTATTGAAAGACCATGGTGTGCATCTCCATCCAAGATGGAGACAAGGAAGCATACCAGCTAGACTCAAACTATGCGCATCACGCTCACTGTGCCACCATGGAAGATAGCATAGAAGATGCAGCCACTGTAGCCTACATGGGTCTCCGTGGTCGTCGCTTTGATGATATGAAGGAAGATCAATATCGCTTCCTCCCTCGCCAACACCCTGACTTGGGATGGGCAATAATGGACCCTAAAGGCATGGATCCCACTACTCAAGTGATGGTGCACTATGCCTATGAATTAGTAGACAAGAATCGACGGCTGGAAGATCAGTTGATGGCACAGGAGGCGACCCTTAAGAGATACCGACAAGTGATAGATGAGCAAAGGGTGTGCCTCAACTTGCCAAGGATCTATGAGGAGCTTCCCCATGAATTTCGCCCATAGAAGTTAGAGTTCCTTTCTATGTAATAAGACGTTAGTAGCACGGGTCAAGTTAAGTCAAGTCGAGTCTAGTAGTGTGGTGTGAACTTTGGTGTGCCTAGTTGATTTATTATTATGTTTATGTGTGAGTTGGATTTTTGTAATGAGTGCTGGAACTCTGTGGGCATGCATGCAAGTTCCATAGTTAAGAAGATTAAAGTTTGAGTCAATAAATAAATAGTTGGGTTTGGTACATCATGCTCTCTCGGATCTGCTTTTTGAGAGCAGTCCTCCCTTATCTCAATGCCAATCTAAATCTACATGACAAAAAATTATGTATTTTTTATGGGAGCAACTAGACTTAAGTATATTTCTAATTCTCTAGAATCACCCCTATACCTGATCTAGTTTG